CCTTAAATTATGTTGTCTCTGTCTTAATTTTTTAAATAAAGCTGTTGGTCTAAAAAAATATATATATTTGTAGAAAAAGATAAGGAAGAAGTTACATCAAAATGTTAATAGTTGTCATTTCTAGAGATGGCAAGGTCAGTGCTTTTGATTTTATTTTTACTTAAAAATTTCACAAGTGTTTATATTATTTTTGTATAATCAGGCAAAATTATAAAGATGCTTTAAAATTTTAGCCCCTTTATATTTTACTAGTAGCCTGGTGCATGAAATTTGTGCACATTAAAAGGGAATTAATTGCCCTAACTGGTTTGGCTCATTGTATAGAGCATCGGCCTACGATAATGAGAAGTGGCCTAAAGTAAGAATATGTAAGACTCCTGGGTAGTGGCATATGGCCTGGCTGTTTCATAGGTGCCTGGAAGTAGAAATGTTGGATGAATGAGGAGAAGGCCTGTGGAAGAGGCATGTGAATGGAGCTATGGGAATGGGCACAAAGTGTGGCTATCTGAATCACATGGCGGTGTCCATCAGGTAACGTACCATCATGGAAGAGACAATAAATGACCACATAGACATGATGATTCCGTCAGTCATATCAGCTAGACTCTGCTTTTGTCCACCTAGTGGGGTCACAGAGGGCACATGCAGAGTAGCCATAGAGATGGAAGCTCTGCCTGGTGGCAAGGGTGAAGGTTCTCTTTGTGGAATTTACAGGGAGGGCTCTTACTTCACAGTGCTGACCTGGCTCCTGCTAGTGCCAAGTGCACAACATGGCAGCACAAGAGACCAACACTAAGCCCCCAATGCAGCACGATCCTGCAAAGGGACCAGCCAGCCACTCACTGGATCGTTGATTTATATTCTACCTGGATGGGCCAGTGATTCAACTTGGCTGGAATTGATACATATTCTGCTACAGATTTGCCCTTTTTGCCCACATTGACCAAAACCATTATCTGAAGGATCTGTATGGATCCTAAAAAGCATTGTCTCCGACCATGGGGCATGCCAGCATGTATATGTCTGTTGTAGACTAATGACTCCTTCCAAAATTATCCATATTGTAATCCTCAGAACTTGGAATATATTATCTTACTAGAGGCCCTGTGCACGAATTCGTGCATGGGTGGGGTCTGGCCCACCCGCCCCACTTGGGGCCAATTAGGCCTGGCTGGCCAGGGGGAGGGGCCATGGGTGGTTGGCCTACTGGCCCTGCCCCCTGGTCGAACTCCCAGTTGAGGGGACAATTTGCATATTAGCCTTTTATTATATAGGATTACATAGGATGTGGCAAAAGAGGCTTTGCAGGTGTAGTTAAGTTGAGGATCTTCAGATGGGGAGAGTATCCTGGATTATCCAGGTGGGACCAATATAATCACAAGAGTTCTTATAAGACGGTGGTTCTCAACCTTGGCTGCACATTAGAATCACCTGGGAATCTTTTTAAAATCCTGATTTCTGGGCCTCATCCTCCGGAAATTCTGTTTCTTTGTTACTAATGTTGTGGCCCCACCCCATAACAAAGAAATAGAATTTCTGGAGGATGAGGCCCAGAAATCAGGATTTTAAAAAGATTCCCAGGTGATTCTAATGTGCAGCCAAGGTTGAGAACCACTGATCTATAGATATAGTATTTCCAAAGGTAGCTTCAATAATAGATCCATTACAAATCATTTCACTTCCACGCTCCACTCTGAGGGCGGGTTCCTGCCTGAAACCTCACCCTCCAGGAAACATATTCTCTCCTCCCTGCTGTCAGGGGCCAGGGTACAGGTGAATAGGATTCCTAGCTGGCAGGCCCCTGACAGCAAACTGGCCACCTGTCGATTCTGTGAGGAATGGGGCTCCCTCCTCCCTCCTGCCAGGGTCTGGGGTGCAGGGGAATGGGGTTCCTGGCTGGCAGGCCACTGATAGCAAGCTATCCAACAGTGGATTCTGTGAGGAATGGGGCTTCCCTCCTTTCTACTGTCAGGGTCTAGTTTGAAGGTCGGCCATGCCCCCTGTTGGGCCAGACTCAGAGTTCTACCACGCCGTGGCCTCCACCTCAGCAACCCAGGACTGACTGCTGCTGGGTGCTCCTGGTGCTCAGAGGGTGGGTTCTTCCCTCAGGCCACACAGGAAACAGCTCAGGGAGGGCGCAGCCCTTGGCAAAGCGACCCAGGATTCAGTGGGTCCACGCTCTGAGGGTGGGTTCCTGCCTCAAACCCCACCCTCACTGGAAACAGCTCCAGGAAACAGCTCGGGGGGTGGGCGAAGCCGTTGCCAAGACAACCCCTGCAGGACTGACTTCCTTCCGCTTGGTCGTGGTTCTGGCCGTGATATTACACCTAGAGTTTTTATATAAGTAGATATTTTACCAAGCTATCATGAGCCCTCTAAAAACTATAAACTATTATTGAAAGCCAGAATTGAAATAATGTAAGATCTAGGTAAATTAACTTGCCTCACTATATCCTTAGGGAATTCAAATAGATTACTTTCTATTGCCTTTGCCAGCATGGAGTGTTGCTTGGATATTATTCTAAGATCCTTGTCTGAAACTGTCCCAATAGCATGCACATAAAGTACATTTGCAGATGACCTGCCATTGCATACTTTATTTACAAATATCTTCCCCATGAAGCAATTATTCTGGCTTTGCTTTAGTTGGCATTGTGCTTGAGAATTCAACTCCCAATAGTTATCTGTGCTCTAGAACATCATCTGTGAAGATTTCTGCTCTTCTTTTTCATACTAGATTCAAAAGAACACCTTAAAACAAATATACTAATGCACAGCAAGCCATTATTTAGTCAACATAAGGTACAATATTCTACTGCTTAATTTGATATATCCTTCCATTAGTGTAGTGATGAAAAGAATTTCAGAACCATTATATGAAGGGTTTGTTTTCTGCCTGCAACAGGAATGAATAATTGGACTCAATATTTTAATGGGAAAGTGCAGCAAGGGGAATGGCAAAAAATAACTAAAAAGTAGGGCAGGCTTTATGCATGAATGGCTTGGCAGTCTATGTAGGTGTCAAAAATTCAGCAGTGGGAAACCCATCAGTGCCTAGTTCTCCTCTGCCATGGTGGCCAATGCCCAGAGTTACACAGTCAAATCTAAGGTATTATGATCTTAACTCTGTCATTCTTCAGTCATACACAGTTCTTCCATATGATGTTCTTTCCCTGACCTTTTTTATTAAAGCCTGTTATAGACAACTCAATAGTTCTTACCCTTATCGTAAGCACTTAAGGATAATGGGGCTACCGTCTCTGAGATCCTTCAACATAGAGAATTAAAGTCCATTTCGCCTGTCAGATCTTAATAGGAAAACACGCCTGCAATCTGGGATACTGAGCGCTAGCCCAGCAGGACAGTTCATTGTCTGTTCTCTATAACACCTTCATAATGCCTTCTGGTCTATCACTTACATTTCTGTTACAAAGGGAAATGCACACAATTGGAACCAGAAGAGTTAGAGCTCTGTGGATCTGTTGAAATGCATTTGCAACCAATAATTTCCCCGTTGCTGATACTTAGGGTAGGCTAGTTTGAGTAGGTATGGTAGAGACGATTGGACAGTGGATGTAAGAGTTCCAGATGACCAGGAGGGTGAGGAAGCTGAGGAGGATTACTAAAATGTGAAGAGAATATAGAATGGGGTAGTTGAAGATAAATAGGAGTCCCATAGTTCTAAGAGTCAAACAAACATTGCTGCATAGGTTGTGGAGACAGTGCCTCAGTTCTAAGCCCAAAGGTCAGTTGTTATTTTTTTCTAGGAATGCTCATGTCAGGGACTTGTAGGCATTGTTGTAGGAGCCATTAGCATTGATCCCATGTGCAGGGAAGGTGGGCAAAAAGAAACAACTTCTTTGTTGTTTCAAGGAAATCAAATGACCCACTGGAAACATCTCTCGCAGCTTGTTCCAGTGCCATCATTTCTCTCCAGTAGATTGGCATTTGGAGGATAAAGTTTTGTTTGAGATTATTGTTGAAGTTGTACATATCTTTCTAGGGAAAGGAAACACATTGCACATTAATAAATTATCATCAATTAATTTAACATTTTCTTTAACTACCTTTGAGAGGCTGGAAAATATGACAAGTATGTTTTGATGGCTCCTAGAGATAAACCATCTTTAATTAGATCCGTTAACTGGGAAACTGCACTGATTTTTTGGTAAAAAAAAAAAATCTCTTTCATTTCACTGACAGTCTAAGCTTTGTTTTCCTCACCATCAGCCTCTCAAACTCTGAACTTGTTTATCTCCTTCACCACATGTCCCCTTTCTTCTTGGTCTGTGACCTCTTTCCTCAGCTGCTTCAGATTTCCTAAGGGAGGTTAGACAGAGCCTACAGTTGTCCTACAGTTGATAGAGGCAATTGTGCCTACTGCTCAGTGCTGGTTCAGGACCACCACCAATTGTGTATGGCTCTCAGCAACACAAAACAGACCCAAACCATTCTAGTGCTGCTCTGGCTATCCCAAGACTATACGTTATGCCTTCCAGATTCCTCTAAAATTGACTTCCTTCTCCTCATGCTCACTAGCATTGCTGTAATGTAGACATTGTCCTTAGGGAGAGGAAAAAAACCACTTCGTTCTTGTAGAAGATAAAGTTGATGGATGTGTTTGTTATTGTCTGGCTTCCTTTGAGCCAGTCTCTCCATTTTCAAGGTAGTCAATTTCTCTAAGTCTTATCTGATAAGTATATGAGCTAATTCATGTGAAAACCCTGAACAGGTGTCAGACATGGAGTGAACATCCAGTAAAAGTTAGCTTATAATCATCATTGTCATCCTTGTCTTTGGTATGGGACCTTTGGTTGATTCATACTTGGTTAGGTCTTGGTTTCCTTGTGAGGTTTTAAGTTAAAAGAGATAGGTGTACATTAAAAATTAAATTATAATGTGTCTTTTTAAATATTATTTTAAAATACTTGTTATGAGGAGTAGTAAGAGAGAAGTGAGTAGATAATGTTTAATTTCAATCAACTACTTTTATATCCTAGGCTGACCAGATATCTGGTTTTCACATAAGATCCGTTCTCTGCGTACCTATTTGGAATAGCAGCCACCAAATAATTGGTAAGACATTACCTAAATGTTCAAACATTTTTTTAAGAAATACAAGTTTAATTTAAAATACACCCATATCTTTTTTTTATGTGCTCCCCTTTTTATGTCTAGAATTCATCAACCTATGTCTCATACTCTTGTGTTATCTCGTAAGTGCAGACTTCTGATGAATCTACATTAATCCCATCAATGAACAAACATCTGTTCCTTTAAATAAGAACCAATATTTTTGAAGTTGGAGGGGATCTCAGAAAGTAACTAATAGGATTCTTTTACCTCAACCTTTGGAAACTGAGGCAGAGCTGGCGGGGGGTGCAGAGATGAACAAAACCACAGAGTGAGTTGCTAGCAGGGTTAGAACTAAAACTCAGGCCTCCTAACTCCTAGTACAAACTCTCCCACTACATCTACATATTTACATCTATGTGTTTACACATGGATTAAATGCGAAGAAAGAAGGAACATGAATTGCTAGACATATACTGAACATACATCCTTCTGTCTGGATGATTCTGAAATTCGCTACACTTTCCCCAGAATAAGGGAATTGTGGACCAAAGCAGCTTCCATTTCTTCTCTCCCTCCTTGCTCTCTTCTCTCCCTTCAAAAATCCAGTCAGGAAAATATTAAATCTAAGAAGGAAGTCTAGGCAAGAAGAGGTCAGTGATTAAAGTAAAGAAGTCGTGAAAGATGTAAGCATTACTTAAAATTATTGAAATGCAATGAAAATGTGATTTTTTCCTAAGAGACATAAGGTAACTAATGTATTTGGTAATCAATGCATCTATTTGCCTCTCTGTCCCCCCAAGTTTGCCTCTTAAACTCTAAGACACTGCTACTTACCAATTTGCTACTCTGTAAAGGTTATCACGACTTGAATTCTAAGAAAAAATTTTTCATCTGTTTGCTTAATTTGCAGAAAAACATTATTGAACATACAGAATATTCTAAGATTTAGGAATTTGAGCCCCCAGTACAAAGCATTGAATTGCATCATGTACCGAATTTTAAATATATTTAAGTTGGAAGAGAAGAGGAAGTCCATAAGAAACACCATATGTTATCTGTTGATGTCCAATGTAAATCTCACGTACAGTCTTTCATTTCATTCCTAACAGTAAACATCTGTTATTCTTTCAAAATTAAGACTGTAGTTTGCTTGTTACATGCCAAAAGATTTGCATTTAACTATATATGTCTTTTAGCATATGATGACTTACCTCCCTGGTGGGAAGTTAGGTGTTTTAAAAAATAGAAGCATGCTTTAGAATTATAGCTATTTTCTTTGTTTGTACTAAATAGGGACACAGGAGAGTGATTTTTAAGATTGATGAGTTTTTTTGGTTAAACTTATGGCTTTTAATAATCATGTGCCCAAACATCTGGTATAATGTTGGAAATGAACTTTGGAAAGAGGAAGCACTGGTAGCAGTCAACAGCACTAACCTTGCTTTGAAGGTTAACTGTATCATTATCCCTAACATATTAACCCTTGAGTAATATGCTTTACAAACATGCAAACGTTGTCTCATTTAATCTTCATAGCCCTCTGAGATAGTTAACATTTCAACCCCCATTTTATAGATGAGGAAATTTGGTGCTAAAAAATGTAGGTAACTTGCTCAAGTTAATACTGATGATGGAGTTGAAATTTGAACTAAGACAGTCTAACTTCAGGGCCAGTGTTAATCACTATGTCACACTCTCTCACTCAAACATTGTGCTTCAGGGAATTGAAAAAATAAAAAATTACACACACACACACACACATATATATAACTAAATATATATAACTGTGCATATGTGTGTGTGTGTGTGTGTGTGTGTATGCCAGATTTATCAGCGTTATTGTGTACAGTCATCTTGAAAACCATTTTTAGGAAATAGATTGATGCCTGGTAGAACTCCAGGCTTCACTGAGACCTACTCTGGGTCTCACAGCCTGGAAAGTAGACTGAATTTCAGCACATCTCAGATCTGCTGCCATGCACATAACAGGTACTAGAGAGACCAGAGATTAAACTGGGGTGTCTAGAGTCACTTAAAGGAGGCATTGAATCAACTGGTGCTTACTATATTGTAGCAACGCAGTCTCTAGTGCTGAGAATGACCACATATGCCAAACTCTTCCCACAGGAGTGGCTCAAGTGTTAAATAGACTTGATGGAAAACCGTTTGATGATGCAGATCAACGACTTTTTGAGGTAAGAAAATAAAGCAAGAGTTATAGCTGAGACACCAATAGTCTCCTGGTTGCAGCTTGCCCAGACTTGTAAGGATAAATAATCATTAATTATCATTATACTTAAAGTGTGTGACAGAATTTAAAGGAAGATTTAAAGACTATATAGATGCTTAGGTAGTATTTGATTCTATTTTTATTTTACTAATTAGATTATTTTGTGACCATTGATTAGTTTTATCCTCATTTATTTTTTTACAGAACTGAGTCAGCCAATCTCTATTCAAAGTGTTAATTGTCTTATCCTTGTCTTGTTTGGGTGTGTTCAGAGCTGTGAGACCCCCTAGTCAGCTCTGCCAGTTGTGTCATCATCACCTCTCTTCTGTTTACAAGCTTCCTTTTCCTCCAGCCTGCCCTTTAGCTAGAGAGGTTGGCCTTGAATAGGCTTCCTTGTAGACTTTGTACTAGTGACCAACATGAAAACTCCATGATTATTTTCTTTAGCTGAGAATACCTCACAGCTTCTTTACTAACTGGTTCCAAATCAATCCTCCTTCCTCTTAACATTTAAGGGTGGGTATACTCACTTGGTTTCTTTACCAAAATATTTTAAAGGCTAGATACTGAAAGAGGTTGCTTTGGGTCAATTGGAATGGAATGACTAACATCAGTCCACAGCCTAAATAAAGAACACATTTAAACAGATTGTAAGCATGTTTTGAAATGCATGAAGTCGTTTCTTCACAATGACAGTAAACTAACATTTTCTCTGATGTACATTGTGAGCTATAAAGCTGTTACATGACAATAGTAATTATGAATTTTAATGTGCATATTTCCCCAAGGCCTAACTCTGTGTACAATAAAATTATATTTTCAGGCCCATCGCTGATAACTGCCTGCTTTTATATTAGATTATTCCAATGAGTTACTGCAATTTTTAATTAGTGGGCTTTCTCTTCCTTAGGCTTTTGTCATCTTTTGTGGCCTGGGCATCAACAACACAATTATGTATGATCAAGTGAAGAAGTCCTGGGCCAAGCAGTCTGTGGCTCTTGATGTAAGTACAATATTTATGTCAGAATTGTACGCTAAAAAGCCCTAATTTTATGCGGGGAAAAATCCTTGTTAATTTCTCAATCTTTAATGATCTATTTATTGGGTCTTAATCATGTTAGAGTCATGGGTGTGAATTTGATGAAAGCTAGAGACCCTCTCTAGAAGAATGCACAGATGAACACAATTTTATATATAATTTCAGGAAGTTCACAGATTCTTTGAAGCCCATCCATATATGTTGTATGGTTAAATATAAATTTTAAATATTAGGTTCATTAAAAGTGGTGAATCAAAAATAATTTCTCAGGATTTTAAGTGTATTATGAACTTATTTTGAACACATATAGATATTCCAGAAATTCACAACTTTTCTTACCATAAGAGAAAACTTCCCTATGAAAATGTGTGACCCAGATAGGGGAAGCTGCTCCTGGCATTATCCAACTCACATCCCACGAAGAACTCCAACTTCTTTCCCAGACCTGCACTACATATCCTCAGACCACTAAAGTCTAAAAAAACAATTCTTTTTTTTTTCCCAGATAGGGGAAGCTGCTCCTGGCATTATCCAACTCCTCCCAACTCCCCTCCTCCCCCCCGACCCCAACACACATCCCACGAAGAACTCCAACCTCTTTCCCAGACCTGCACCACATATCCTCAGACCACTAAGTTCTAAAAAACAATTCTTTTTTTTAAAAAAATTTTTTATTGACTTCAGAGAGGAAGGAGAGGGAGAAAGAGATAGAAACATCAATGATGAGAAAGAATCATTGATTGACTACCTCCTGTATACCCCACACTGGGGATCGAGTCCAAAACCCAGGCATGTGCCCTGACAGGAATCGAACCATGAACTTCTGGTTCCTAGGTCAATGCTCAACCACTGAGCCATGCCAGCCAGGCTAAAAGAACAATTCTCTTTTTTTAAATCTTTATTGTTGAAAGTATTACATAGGTCCTCCTTTTTCTCCCATTAACCTCTTCCAGCCTACTCCTGTCCCCCACCCCCAGGTCCTCACCACCCCATTGTCTGTGTCCATGGGTTATGCATATATGCATACAAGTTTATTGGTTGATATCTTGCCACCCACCCTCCCTTGCCATCCCTCTGAGGTTCAACAGTCTGTTCCTGCTTCTTATCTCCCTCGAATCCCAGCTTGTTTTGACCCAAGACCTATTTTCTTCCTACTTTGTAGCTATTACCAAAAATTTTGTTTATATCTATGAAACACTTATTAAGAAGGGCAGATAAAATGTCAGTGCCAAGATAATACTTTATAGAGCAATCTATATATATAAAAGTGTAAGCGACTGTTCGACCGGTAGCTATGATGTGCACTGACTACCAGGGGGCAGACGCTCCAACCAGTAGGTTAGCTTGCTGCTGGGGTCCGGCCAATCGGGACTGGGCGAGAAGGGCTGGACACACCCTGGGGCCCTCCCACAATCTCTCCCTGACCCCAATTGTGCACCAGTGGGGTCCCTCGGCCTGGCCTGGGACCTCTCGCAATCCGGGACCCCTTGGGGGATGTTGGAGAGTGGGTTTTGGCCCAATCCCTGCAGGCCAGGCCGAGGGACCCCACCAGTGCACGAATCCGTGCACCGGGCCTCTAGTATAATATAATACATTCCCAATTTTCAAAATATTCTATGTACCAAATGAGATGTTACTAGAAAAAGAAAACCAATGGGGAGGATAAGTCAGTAAGTCAGTGCTACCTGCAGTATTCTGAGGTTTACAAGACATAAAATTATAGTTATCTATTTACATCCTTTTTTCTCCAGTCTAAACTGTGAATTCTAGAAGCACAGAGATTTTTTATCATTTTGGCAATCTTATTCCCAGTGCCTAACAGGGTGCTTAATACAGAGGAAGTATTTTTGAGGGTTTTTGTTTTATTTATTTTATTTTTTATTTTTATTGAGTGGTTTTTGAATGGGGGGAGGGAAGGAGAGAATGAAGGAAGGTATTTTTTTGCTCTTTCTCTGAGCTAGTTTAGCTTTGTTATATGTAACATCTTTGCAATAAGGAATACAAACAATATCTAGAGAATGAATTAATACATAGGTGAACTGTAAACATGCAACCCACCAATAAAAATCACTACTAGAGTGTTAAGGTCTGTGTACAGAACTACTTTCAAATCCTAGCTCTGTCATGTACCTCAGTTGGGAGTATTAAGTGAAATGATGCATGTGAATATTTTAATACTCAATAAAATCACATAAATAGCAATAATGCTACATTATCACTTGTAGGAGTATATTTATTACTGAGAAATCACCATGTATTGGGAGTAAGAGCAAAGGACAAGAATTTGGAACAGCAAATATTGAGTCATGTATCCTTCACCATCACCAAATTCTGATCTCCAGAGTTGCCTCATCCATTGTTTCTTAGTTTCTGCAACTATAAAAAGGAGGACATACAATATACTAGCCCCACTGAAACCCTACTTCCTATTGCCATGTTATAATTCACACACACATACACAGAACCATAGAACATCTCAAATCTCCCCATATTCTTACTCCTTACCGCCCTCATAGTAGATCTTTCTCCTGTTGAGAAGGGGTTAAGATAACTGGGTTGAAGCACGAATGGTTGTTTGCCAATGAAAGTCAGCATTCTCACTGACACTACTTTCTAATCCATAGATTCCATTAGAAAGTGCTAATATCGTCACAGTCTATTCATGCATGAATTGCTTATTTGGGTTCATAGTGAACACCCTCTTATTTGTGTAACTCAGATACCTTCTGTCTTTAGACACAGACATTATTATTGACACTCCCAAATTTCCAGCACAACTCCGAGCCTTGTGACAATCTCACCCTTTCAGAAGTTGACTTACATGTGTGGACTTGTATGTTCTGTGTGCATTATTTTGTGCCAGTGTCAGAGTGGCATTTCCAGTCAGAATTCTGGTATTACCATCTTGGTTTTATCCCTCCCACCTCCACTCAACCCCTACCTCACCAGATACCAATTCTTGACTCTATTGATCAGGTGGCATACACCCCTTCTTTAGCCCAAGAATCCATATACAAGAATATTAGTAGCTAGAATGATTTCTTTTCCTTCCTTTTTTCTTCCTTCTTTCCTTCCTTCCTTCTTTCCTTCCTTCCTTCTTTCCTTCCTTCCTTCTTTCCTTCCTTCCTTCTTTCCTTCCTTCCTTCTTTCCTTCCTTCCTTCTTTCCTTCCTTCCTTCTTTCCTTCCTTCCTTCTTTCCTTCCTTCCTTCTTTCCTTCCTTCCTTCTTTCCTTCCTTCCTTCTTTCCTTCCTTCCTTCTTTCCTTCCTTCCTTCTTTCCTTCCTTCCTTCTTTCCTTCCTTCCTTCTTTCCTTCCTTCCTTCTTTCCTTCCTTCCTTCTTTCCTTCCTTCCTTCTTTCCTTCCTTCCTTCTTTCCTTCCTTCCTTCTTTCCTTCCTTCCTTCTTTCCTTCCTTCCTTCTTTCCTTCCTTCCTTCTTTCCTTCCTTCCTTCTTTCCTTCCTTCCTTCTTTCCTTCCTTCCTTCTTTCCTTCCTTCCTTCTTTCCTTCCTTCCTTCTTTCCTTCCTTCCTTCTTTCCTTCCTTCCTTCTTTCCTTCCTTCCTTCTTTCCTTCCTTCCTTCTTTCCTTCCTTCCTTCTTTCCTTCCTTCCTTCTTTCCTTCCTTCCTTCTTTCCTTCCTTCCTTCTTTCCTTCCTTCCTTCTTTCCTTCCTTCCTTCTTTCCTTCCTTCCTTCTTTCCTTCCTTCCTTCTTTCCTTCCTTCCTTCTTTCCTTCCTTCCTTCTTTCCTTCCTTCCTTCTTTCCTTCCTTCCTTCTTTCCTTCCTTCCTTCTTTCCTTCCTTCCTTCTTTCCTTCCTTCCTTCTTTCCTTCCTTCCTTCTTTCCTTCCTTCCTTCTTTCCTTCCTTCCTTCTTTCCTTCCTTCCTTCTTTCCTTCCTTCCTTCTTTCCTTCCTTCCTTCTTTCCTTCCTTCCTTCTTTCCTTCCTTCCTTCTTTCCTTCCTTCCTTCTTTCCTTCCTTCCCTCCCTCCCTTCCTTCCTTCCTTCCTTCCTTCCTTCCTCTTTTCCTTCTGAGAGTGGGGCTCTCCCATGTCAGGAACTTCTCTGCAGCCAGGAAGCCAGAGACCAGGATTTGAGCACCAAGCTGAGGGGCTCAAATTCTTTCTCTCTCCAAGTTTGAGAGACACAGATGTGCTGACTCTGTACAAGGCTTGAATCTTTAACAAGCGATGGAACCGTCCTCTCTTGCCAGAGAGAATCACGCCGCCTCCCCCGCCCCGTTTCCACACATGCCCCGCCGAGGGGGGGGGG